CGTGACTCAACCCCGAGCCGCGTATCTGACCGTTATATAGCCACCCGTATACATACAATGACACTCACGCATATCCCCGGAGGGGGGACAACACCCCGCAGACATTGCTGCCTTTTCGCACCCTCTACATGCTCAAGCCAAGTACAACCTTTCTTCTTTGCTTACATGTTCTTCTCTATAAAACAACCTCTGACTCTCTGAGTGGTCTGACGCCCATCCCTGACACGCAATGGAGCTGGGTCGTGTCGAGCGGCCGCTAGCGCAAGCAGTTTTTGGACCGTGAGCCCCCGTTCAGGACACAGGGAAATCATCCAGGGCTGGCCCGCCCCCCCGGCGGGGGCGCCTGCGCAGGAGCGCCGAGATGTAGCCGTCCAAGGGCCGCCCCCGCGCCCGAGCCGTCGGGCGAGTCCGCCGCTGGACGGCCGCAGGGCCGCGGGCTGCGCAGCCCCACGGCGTGCAGGGGGCTGGGCGTCAGGAAGGGCCCCGCGCGGGACCGCCGCTCCGCCGAGGAGCAGGCCTCCGGGCCCCCAGACCCCGCTGCCGTCGGATAAGGGGCCGAGAAGGACCGCGGGACTGGTGCCCGGGCTCCCGCCGCCTCGGGGGCGCTGGGACTGGCGTCTCCTGGTGGAGGAAGCAACAGGTAAAAGGAAGAGTGGGAGAGGCTCTCAGAACCCCTTCCCTGTGCGCCTATGAGGGGCATTTCCCCACTATTGTCCCATTCCCATCACAAAGAAAAGAAAGGAAGAAAAAATAAAATAAAACAGGAATGCAAAGGCAAAGTGGAAGGGAAGGAACCCTGCCCTCACCCCTTCCCTTGTTTCAGGTTCTTAACATCTTCACAGCAGCCTGCAAAGCCCTGCGTGACCTGCCCTGCTCCGCCTCGCTGACCTCCATCTCTAACCCGCTCCTCCATAGTTACAGGTCTCCAGCCAGAGTGACCTCCGGGTGCAGAACCCAGCCGCACTCTGCCTCAGGGCCTTTGCACTTGCTGTTACCAGTTCCTGCCATGCTCTTCCCCCGGGATACCTGATTGGTCCACTGGCTCACTTCGTGGTGCCACTCAAATGTCAGTCTCAGCGATGCCCTCTCTGAGCAGATTTTGTAAAATTGCGATTCTCTCCCCAACTCAGAGTGACATGCCCCAGTCCCCTTCCCCAGTTTCCTTTTCATTGCACTTGTCAATGTCTAATACCCCATGTAGTGCACTTACTTATCTTGTATGTTACCCGTTTCACCCACTAGAATGTCAGTTGTGAGGACGGGGCTTTTTTCATTGCTGTATCCCTCACCCCCAGGACAGGGCTAGGACAGCACCCAGTCCAGTCGGGGCGCAGGAACTGGTGTAAATGAACTGCAACAGTTCCTGATGACTGAAAGGCTCCCTGTGCCGAGTTCAATGCCTAAGGCTGAGGCTCACTGAATACTCAAAGGTTCCCTAGGAGGCAGGCGCTGCTATTAACCCCATTTGAACAGATGGAGAAACGGAGGCCCAGAGAGAAGCGACAGGCTCAAAACCACGCGAAAGGGAATGTCGCGGCCAGAATTCGAATTCAGGTTGGTTTGACTCAGAAGTGTGCTCAAGACCATCTTCTCACGGTCATTTCCCTGGCTGTCAGGGCCCCACCCACCCACCTTACCTAGGGACTTGGGCCTCTCACTGGCATAGATGCCCCGGGGTTCAGAGGGACCCAGGCGTCCATAGGAGCCAGATCCAGAGAAGCCACTGTCCCCACAGAAGGTCGAGGGTGGCGAGTCAGGACCTCCTGTGGAGCTGGGGTCTTCATAGAAGCCTGGATTGGGGAGAAACGGAGAGACGAAAGGGGGGCTTGGCTGGGGAAACCAGGGCGTGGAGAAAGGAGGAGACCAAGCAACAGAGACAGGGGAGCCAGAGAGAGGGGGGGACAGTGGAAAACATTGGGGTATCCCAGCTGCCCCTGCTCCCTTGACCCATGCTCACCTGAGCTGCGCCCACTTTCCTGTTCCAGGCCCCCAGACTCCAGGCTCAGGTCTCCCAGCTGCTGGCCCAGGTCCCAGATGAGTCCGGGCAAGGCCTCCTGAAGGCGTGGCAAGAGCAGGGTGGTCAGAAGGCACCCCCAAGGCCTCTGCCCGTTCCAGTCCCCTATTCCAGGAGTTCACGGGCAGAGTTTCACCTTGACCACGAGGCTCTGACTTCAAAAGGGTAAAAGCAGGACCGGAGTCCCAGGATCCCCTTCAAAGATCTCTGCCCCTTTATCCATGAGAAAGTCCTTCTGGCTAAATCCAGTCCTCGCTGCAGCCACCTCACTCCCTTCTAGGTCCCATCCCTCCCCCCTGCCTTCTTCCATCTGTGCTCATGGCCCCTTGACCTCTATTAGAATGTCCCTCCTCGAGTCTAACTTCAGTTCTTCTTGCTTTAGAGGCACTTCATTGCTAAAAATTGGGGTCCAGGACCTAGCAGATCCCCTAGCCATTGCTCCACCTTCTCCCATCCTTGACCTTTTCTTCTCAGATGCTCTCCTCTCCTCCTACTGCCCCTTCGCCACCGATAGAAAGTTCTTTTGCAAGTTTCCTGAGTCCTTTCTGGTGCACACTGACCCCTTCCCTCACAGGGATAAACTGGCGGGCTCTGACTCATATGTTTTGCTCCTCACTTCGGAAAGAACCCCCATGCCTAGCTGGCAAGGCCTTCCTGGCCTCAGTGGTTCCTTTAACCCCTGGGACCACGTCTGTCTCCTGCTCTTGCTCCCTCCCCACCCAGAAGCCCCCAGTGTCCACCCACCGCTCCTCATAAGGAATGTCTGTGGAGTCTACCCTGGCCCCTTCTTGCTGCAGGAAGAGACCATTTCCTATCAGGTGTGAAGAAATGACGGTGAAAACGCTTCGAGGGGAGTGTGGCAGGGACTGCGGGTGAGGGCAGGGCCTGAACCGACGCCGCTGGGGTCTCTAAGACACTAGAACGTAACACCATTTCGGGAAGTGGGGCCAGAGCCGGGAAGAGTCCCACAGGGTCTGGGTGAGGCCAGAGGTGGCAGCAGCGGAGCTGACGGTTGACCCTCAGACAAAAGCGGCTTGTCTGGGCGGTGGGAGGGAGGGGAAGAGGGAGGAGGGGCGGGGAGGGCAGGCGCCCAGCGCTGCCTATTTAAGGCAGCAAGACCGTCCAGCTCTGTTGCAGACACCCCCTCCCCCCTGCTTCCCACTCCGGTGACTGCTCTCCTGGCCCCATCCCCCCCAGAACGGAAGCCCCCATCTGGGCTTGTTATGGCAAGAAAGGCAACGAGACAGTCCACTTTCCTGCTCTGGTTGGGCAGAGGTGCTCAGGGCCGCGTCCCCTTTGAGCCAAACCCAGGGAAAGCAGGCGAGTT